TGCCACCCCCTCTGGCCCCCGCGCCCTGGATCGCCACCCCGTGCCCCCCTCCCCCCTAGCCTTCCAGGCAATCCGGAATTGTCAGCCCCCGTCTGCCCGCCCTGCCCCCCCGCTATTGCGGGGGCGAGGAGGCCCGCGAAACAATTGTTTTTAATCGTCCGCCCTAAAAAATTGTTTAAATCGTTTCCCTTCATTAAGAATGCGGGGATATGATATTAGAAACAACGATGAGTTCACGCATAGATTTATTCATGCATTAATCATGTATCAAAAGTCCGATATTGTGAGAAGTCCTATGTATGAAAAACTGCCCTGTACCGTTCTCCCGTTTTCCCCTCTTTGGGCCTCCTGGGAGGCCCTGGTGGCCACCGCTGGACTCGCGTCGCAATCCTGGCGCCAGAGCGCGCCCTCGGGAGAGGCCCGGGGAGCAGCGGTATCGGTACCTTCTGGTGTCCCCAGCGACAAGGACGCGGGGCTTGCGCCACGGGGGCCAGTCGATTCAGGAGGGAAAAAACCACACAGACAAAATTCATCGTCGAATCCCAAGAAGATATGGAAAATATGGGAAGCGAGAAGGAAGACACACACCCAGAAAAAATGTGAAACTATAGGGCATCCGGTTATTTTGTGTGTATTTATTGCGGAGGCCTTACGGCCGGTGCCGCCGACCCTGAAGACGACGAAGATGAAAACGAGGGTGAGGGGGAGCAGGAGGAGGAGGAGGAGGAGGAGGAGGAGGAGGAGGAGGAGGAAGAAGAGAAAACGGAGGAGGAGGAGGAGGTAGAGGAGGAGCAAGAGGAGGGGAGCAAGGGGGGGACACGGCACTGCCGAGGGAAGCGTCGCGCTGTGCACGAGCGCCCACCAAGGGCGCCAAGCTGTTGGCAGCCTGGCTGGCCTGTGAGGAGGCTGGGACCCCACCAAGAGGATCTCGGGTTCCAGCCACACAGACAAATATACGGGGATTAAGCCCCGCAGCCTGGGTGAGAAGGTGGGCTCCCGTGGAGCCTGGCCCAGTGAGTCTCAGGGTCTGAGACAAGTAGCGGACGAGGTGCGGGAACCCGACGTGAACCCTCCATTCTTTCGTCCGCAGGATGAAAACCTTGCATGCAAAGGCGTCGGTTGCGCACCGCCCGTTCTGACAGGCGGCGCGTGCTGCCCGATGGGCAATCAATTAGGAGGTGGCCAGCCGCGCCCGTCGTAAAAGCCCCACAGGAAACGCACAGGCAGACATGGCCCGAGGAAACCCAGAGTCTGTGGCCGCGTGCGGCCGTGGCAGGAACAGGGCCCGCTCCTGGCATAGGCTCGGCTGGTACTGTCGTGTCGGCCAGCGAAGGCCGACTTGGGCGCTTGGAGCCGATCCGCCTCCGCTTGTCGTGGAGGAAGGTGGGCCCCGAGCGCTCTGGAAAAGAAAGAACCCTGGCAGTGGCATCAGCCTGGACACTCGCAGCTCCATCCCAGGCAACAGCGACGGGCTCGAAGCCCACGCGTGGCCTGACGTGCATTTTCTAAGCCAGGGGAGGGGCTACGGGGGCGAGGCAAGGAAGGGCTACCCAGGCCCGAGGAGGGAGGGGGGGGTCCGCCTCCCCTTGGTCACACACCTGGCCACGCGTGGGGGACTCCGTCCGAGGGCGCACCGATCGAAACGAGTCCGAGGGGGAGCGAGGTCGCACGGCAACACCGAAGCTGCCGCGCTCATTCGTCGGCATCTGCCTTTCATTGTCAGCCCGGGCGCGCGCAGCGTGCCCAGGAGGGGTGACAGTGGAGGGGTGCCGATGGATGGCGGCGGCAGCGCGCAAACGAGCAGGGCAGGCAAGCTCAGAGAGACGACGACGGGTCCTTTCCAGCTTCGAGCCCTTCCTACAAAACTCGCATCTCCAAATGTTGCGATGGGGGACCTGGGTAAAAACATGGCGCAGATGAACCGATTCCTCCCTGGGCTCCAGAGGGGCCGAGGCACGCCGAGGGCGTCGACAGGCGTTCTTGCGGGGCCGAGTGTCAACCCGCTGTTCGCCAAAGAAAAGCTCAGGGCAGTAGTACTCCACCGCAGGATGCGAGTGTAATGTTGGTGGCCAAGCTTCATAGCTTTGACCTGTATTCTGGGGATGGAGTGGAGGTCTCTGCCATTGCGCGCAGCAAGGTCGGCCCGCCGGTTGCCACGGGCGTCGGTGCTCTGTCCCTGCTGGTGTCCTCTGACTAGGGTAACTCTCACATCAGACCCCACCTCGCCCAGATCAGGAATCTTGGCCCATATGCGTTCCCAAAGATCAGCGTTTAAACGCCGAGGCGAGCAGCACCATCGGGCTCCAAGGGCAAGGCCGTCAACCAGGCCTTTGAAGTCGGTGTGCACACACAAGGGGCGGAGGCAGACCTGGGGGACCTGGAGGAAAGCGTAAAGCTCGGCCCTGGGCGAGGACTGTATGGGGCCTGGGAGAGCTCCAAAAACAAGAAAATCTACCCCTGGCGGCGGCTCACTCAACTGACAGACAACCCAGCCTGCACGTGTGGTCTCAGACCAGTACCACATACGCTGACACGCACCATCTGTGTATACGTTACCTGTGATACCTTGCGGGTCGCCGTATTGTATGTGCCAGTGCCCAGCGTTGTCCCGTGGTGCTAAGGGTGGGAAGCATGAGCGAGAGACGAGTCCTGTCGACCATAACATAGAGTCACGCGCTTGCCTAGGGAATCCCTCCGTGCGAATGTAAGACATGTGCAGCTGACGTTGTGTATGCAATGCTGGACACTCGTACGCAATATGGTACAAATCACAGGATGCCGCCGTACACCGAGGGCATGTGTCTGTGTCCCTGTAACCACACTTCGCAAGCCTTGCTGGGCTCCAAAGACCGCCTCCCAGATAAGCACGTAAGAGGCCCGCTTCTTTGAGGGAGGGCTTCCACTTGTCAGCAAAAGGGTTGGGTCCAGCAGGGGGCGGGGTCGGGCATGCATCATCCTCGCGATCGGGATCGCCTTGCTCGTCGTCGCTCCCTGAGTCGTCACCATCGTGTAGTTCAACCTTGGATAGGATCTGCAGTATTGGCTCTATCCAATATCCAACGGGCTCCCGAGGAATGGCGTCGCGTCCTGGGAGAGGTGGCCGCCGGGCCCACTTTTCCCATAGTCGTCGCACTCCAGCATCTCTAGCAAGCGGACGGATGGTGGACGGCGCCTCATCACGAACGTCGATCCGAACCCCTAGGTCCGTCTTCCAAACAGCGCTGCTGACAGTGGCCCAGCCGAGCTCTCGTAGTGCAAGCACTGTGGCACCAGCGGGGCCCGATACGTGCCGCCACGGGTGGGGGGAGCGATAGATCTGTTGGATCCGGCGAAGCCATGCTGACTGCAAGACACAGCGAGGCACCTGCGGATCGCGAAACAACAGGGACCACTGGTACAAAGGCGCGGCCCAGGCCTCCACCTGGGGGTCAGTGAAAATAGACCCCATGTAGGCACGATGTGATCCAACACGATGTGCTGGAGCCTGGGGCGCGCCACACACCTCGCTGCGCCTGCCGCATTTGCTCGACGAGTCGTCGGGGGGGCCCCATGCACACCTAGCCCGTAGGTCAAGGCTGGTAGGAGAGCCTGCCTGTGGAAACGACTTAGGAGAGGGCCAGCCCTGTGTTGTGAGATCAAGCGCGGCCGACGACTGGCCACACCCCTCACACGTTGTCGAAGCCTACTGTAGCGTGCAGGGCGTCCCGAGACCTCGATTCCAAGAACCTCTAAAGCCTCCGCGTATACGACCCAAGATCCCGCAGTTGACAGGCCACATGTTTTCCCGACGCAGGAATGGAACTAGTGAGCCTCATCTTGTGGGCAGCTGGAGGGAG